AGTTCTTTTTATTGATGTAAATGAATGATGCAGCAAAATGCCTTCGGAATGCGCCTCAGTCGCCGAAACGACGATTTCCCGTGTTCCACATTGTTTGGCAAATGAACATGTAGTACGCTTTTCACCTTTCTATAACTATAATTTTGATAGTGGAAAATTTTTTTTTATATAATTTCATTGTTGGTTTTGTATTTGGTACCTTATAGTAAGCCTTAGAGTGTTGAATAATTTTTTTTTCAGGGTTGTAGTAGGGGTCCAGGGGCAGATAGGGGTGGGGTGTCCATACACTGATACTGCCACCTGTGGAATGGATGGTGTACCTTAATTTTATTCAACCGTAAAACTTCTTCTAAATTTTCATTTATTCTTATCGCCTTGTGATCACACAACAAATAGCGGATATAAAGTATAACATTACATAGTATTTAACATCTTGATAGTGAATATAATTTATTTCATTCCTTTTTTGGCAATCTAAATTAAGATTGACGACTATTATTTTGCATTATAATATCAGACGACAAAAAACTGCAAGTCAGAAGAAGGCGTTCGTGAAAGTACAAAATTTATCATAGTCATTATTTTACATAGACACAATGATGTGGTTAATGTAGCTAAGTGCAATTTAGATATTAACGGATACGGGTATTTAATAATCCCAACTTGCTAATTCATAGTCTCGTTTCGATTTCCTATATCTGCGAAGCCCTATGACCCTAAATTTACGAAAGACCGGTGGGGACAATTAAACTTCATGAATTACCGATTTCATCTTCGAAAATTCACAATTTCACGATTTCAGTTCACGATCTCAGCTTTGTGAATTCACGATTTCAACTTCAAGAATTCACGGTTTCAACTTCATTAATTCAACTTTGTGAATTCGTGTTTTAAACTTCACGAATTCAAGATTGAAATCGTGAATGCGTGAAGTTGAAATCGCGAATTCTTGTATTCATGAAGTTGAAATCGTGAATTCTGTATGAAGATGAACCCCAGAATTCAAGAAGTTGAAATGTTACCACCGGTCTTTCTTACCTCTTTAAATGGTCCTGTCTATCGTGTTTAATAAAAGGAGAGAGATTACAAATAAGTCAAACTTTCAAAGTTTTGAATTGGGAAAATGCTGTTTGGTCACTACTTTTATTAGGAAATGCTCTTTACGGATAATTCTTAATACGTGTAGAAAAGAATGAACCTTACTGCGGCCTTTTTGTAGAAGATTACGTTAAAGTACCTTTGTGATTAAGGGCATTTTTTCTTGTAGTTTTTATCGAGACAAATTACCCAGGTTAGGCGAAACAATCCTGCATTTGGCCAAAGATAAACCAATTATAAGTAAGACCTGAAATCATCTTAAGTGGCACATAATTCAATATTCATTCATACTTTCGTACTTGACCTCTAACCCCGATAGATTTTATCGTTTGGTACTAGCACGTGCCTGACGTAAATCCCGGCTAGACGTTATCTTAAATAACTATGAAAAGTTAAATATTAATTTCTATTCAGATTAAAGACGACTGTGACGGGGTACGGAAATCACTGGTCGCTATATAGCAGACCAAGATCAGCCGGCACTGGTCGCTATTGAGAAGACCGAGATCAGCCGGCACTGGTCGCTATTGAGAAGACCGAGATCAGCCGGCACTGGTCGCTATTCCGCAGACCGAGATCAGCCGGCACTGGTCGCTATTCCGCAGACCGAGATCAGCCGGCACTGGTCGCTATTCCGCAGACCGAGATCAGCCGGCACTGGTCGCTATTGAGAAGACCGAGATCAGCCGGCACTGGTCGCTATTCCGCAGACCGAGATCAGCCGGCACTGGTCGCTATTCCGCAGACCGAGATCAGCCGGCACTGGTCGCCATTCCGCAGACCGAGATCAGCCGGCACTGGTCGCTATTGAGAAGACCGAGATCAGTCGGCACTGGTCGCTATTCAGCATACCGAGATCAGCCGGCACTGGTCGCTATTTATAGCAGACCGAGATCAGCCGGCACTGCTCGCTATTCAGCAGACCGAGATCAGCCGGCACTGGTCGCTATTCCGCAGACCAAGATCAGCCGGCACTGCTCGCTATTCAGCAGACCGATTTCAGCCGGCACTGGTCGCTGTTCAGCAGACCGAGATCGGCCGGTACTGGTCGCTATTCAGCAGACCGAGATCGGCCGGCACTGGTCGCTATTTAGCAGACCGAGATCAGCCGGCACTCGTTGCTATTCAGCAGATCAAGATCAGCCGACACTGGTCGCTATTCAGCAGACCGAGATCGGCCGGTACTGGTCGCTATTCAGCAGACCGAGATCGGCCGGCACTGGACGCTATTCAGCAGACCGAGATCAGCTGGCACTGGTCGCTATTCAGCAGACCGAGATCAGCCGGCACTGGTCGCTATTCAGCAGACCTAGATCAGTCGACACTGGTCGCTATTCAGCAGACCTAGATCAGTCGACACTGGTCGCTATTCAGCAGACCTAGATCAGTCGACACTGGTCGCTATTCAGCAGACCGAGATCAGCGGCACTGGTCGCTATTCAGCAGACCTAGATCAGCCGGCACTGGTCGCTATTCAGCAGACCTAGATCAGTCGACACTGGTCGCTATTCAGCAGACCTAGATCAGTCCACACTGGTCGCTATTCAGCAGACCGAGATCAGCCGGCACTGGTCGCTATTCAGCAGACCGAGATCGGCCGGCACTGGTCGCTATTCAGCAGACCGAGATCAGCCGACACTGGTCGCTATTCAGCAGACCGAGATCAGCCGACACTGGTCGCTATTCAGCAGACCGAGATCAGCCGGCACTGGTCGCTATTCAGCAGACCGAGATCAGCCGGCACTGGTCGCTATTCAGCAGACCTAGATCAGTCGACACTGGTCGCTATTCAGCAGACCTAGATCAGTCGACACTGGTCGCTATTCAGCAGACCTAGATCAGTCGACACTGGTCGCTATTTCAGCAGACCGAGATCAGCGGCACTGGTCGCTATTCAGCAGACCTAGATCAGCCGGCACTGGTCGCTATTCAGCAGACCTAGATCAGTCGACACTGGTCGCTATTCAGCAGACCTAGATCAGTCCACACTGGTCGCTATTCAGCAGACCGAGATCAGCCGGCACTGGTCGCTATTCAGCAGACCGAGATCGGCCGGCACTGGTCGCTATTCAGCAGACCGAGATCAGCCGACACTGGTCGCTATTCAGCAGACCGAGATCAGCCGACACTGGTCGCTATTCAGCAGACCGAGATCAGCCGGCACTGGTCGCTATTCAGCAGACCGAGATCAGCCGGCACTGGTCGCTATTCAGCAGACCTAGATCAGCCGACACTGGTCGCTATTGAGCAGACCGAGATCAGCCGACACTGGTCGCTATTCAGCAGACCGAGATCAGCCGGCACTGGTCGCTATTCAGCAGACCGAGATCAGCCGGCACTGGTCGCTCTATTCAGCAGACCTAGATCAGCCGACACTGGTCGCTATTCAGCAGACCGAGATCAGCCGACACTGGTCGCTATTCAGCAGACCGAGATCAGCCGTCACTTTTCTTCTATTGTTCATGCAATCGTGATAACCCTTTTTTCTTTTTTCATACGTTACATTTGTTGTCGCATCTCACACACGTGACCTTTGTTTCATCTAGCAATAACGCTATTTGTCTTTCTTTGAAAACATATTTGTTAATTCTAGCATTACATACATTTGTCTCTTTCTTCTTGCAAACGTTACCATTCTTTCTTCTTACGTTTATGACATTTATTTCATTTAACTTACGTTACATTCGTGTGCTAGCTAACATTTGTTTCTTCTTTAAAACGTAGCATTTATTTTTGTTTTCTAACAAACATTTAACGAACGATCTAAGATACATTTTGTCTGTTTTTACATAGTTTATCTCTATTTCTTCTTACATTTTCGAGATTTGTTTAATTTTACATACGTTACCTTTTTTCTCTTATCATACTAACCATTTATTTCTTCGTTACTAAGTCTTCATACATACGTGACATTCTGTTCATCTTACATACGTTATGCCTTGGTTGTCTCTTCTTACAAACTCTACCTTTGTTTTGTTTTTGTGTTGTTGTTTTGTTACTGTTTTAACCATTTTGTTTCTTCGAACATACGAACTATTGATTTTGTTTCGCCATGCATGTAATTTACGTTACATTAATTGAAAGGGTATTATTTGTAATAAATAACAAATCATTATAAGGTTTTAATATATATATGAAAATGTTATAAGTCCCTGTATAGAATTGTATGTCATTGAACAATGTTTGGCCCGGTCACAACTTAACTATTCGATATAGGTATTTAATACTATTTATAGAGCTCTTTACTTTAATAAGTATTTTAATTGGTACGTTAACATATTAGTATACGTGAACAAATTGATTATAACATGCCCTAGGAGTTAGTATATAACGCATTCATTTATGTATGTACTACAGAAAATGTATATATTCATTTTGCAAAGCAAAAAGAGTAAATGTTAAGTTTCAAAACATTTCGTATGTTTTATGTTTTATATTTGCCTTGTGGATAAAGTGTTTTTTATTTAATTAAAATATCATGCATGTTATGTATGATCTAAGGATATATGAAGTTAATAACGGACGCCATGCACTGCAGACGACAATTTTAAATATGAGCCGTGTCACGACAAAACCAACATAATGGGTTTGCGACCAGCATGGATCCAGACCAGCCTGCGCATCCGCGCTTTCTGATCAGGATCCATGCTGTTCGCTTACCAGCCCTATTTCAAGTAGCAAAACTGATAGCGAACAGCATGGATCCTGATCAGACTGCGCGGATGCGCAGGCTGGTCTGGATCCATGCTGGTCGCAAACCCATTATGTTGGTTTTGTCGTGACGCGGCTCATATACTAATTACACCTTTATACGGTAGAATATTGACAACGGAATGATGATGTTACTGAATAAAAAACGAACTGTTTGTGAAAACTTACATAGATTAAAAGAAATATATGTCTTTTGTGTTCCTGGATGGATATAATAATAATATTTGTGTTGGATATAGTTTAGTTTTTGTGGGAATAAAGCAATGCCTTATGGGAATATAGTCCTAGTGTCCGGCCCAGTCCGGCGGAGGAGTTCTTTAACGGACCTGCCGACGTACCAACGTAAGTAATTTCAATATTCCTTATACATGTATATAGAATTGTAAAAAAATGGTATTGACTGCATTTCAAAGGACCATAGGGTACAGTTCACTGCAAACAAAATGACAAATTAATCACTAATTTGATCGGAACTATTTCCATAACATTTAATAAAGCATATTACAAATATATGATATCTTTTGGAATGCAATGGATAGAATTTTTATCCAATAAAGTACCTAAGGAAGGACTTTGTATTTAGTTATGATTAAAACTATATAACATATGTGCTTCTCGTGCTTTTTTGGATAAACATGTATATTTAATGACATGAAACGAGTATTTCTGGTTTTAACTCTTTTTCTATGAACTCTGTTTAGCAAATGATTGAGTCATACCGGTATTATGAAACCCTAGTTATGATTGTGAATGATCTTGATCACTGAACATTTTTATGATAATAATTTACAAATGTGGTAAAGCTGCAAATATGCATCAAAGGTCATGTAGTACTTCATATAACAGTTAACGTTTTTTTGCTTTTCTTGACACGCATGCACTTCACAGTAAGGCGATGACATTTTAAAATTTTCAGGGTGGTGTTCGGTTGTCTAAACTGGAACATATATATCTATGTAAGATTTAATGATTATTGTTTCCCAGCTTTTATACCTTCAAATTTCATGGTAAAATGAAAAACCCACTAATGTTACACAAAGCAACGAAACCTTAATAAATGTAATTGTTCCTTTAGATTGGCTATTCAATGATTTATGGAAGTGATCCGTAGTTTTGTAGATGGTTTTCTATATCACTTATGGATCCCTTGTACACATATGGAGCTCAAATGCAATTTGAGCAGCGATTCCTTTGTTTGTAGCCAAATTTCAATAAATGTTTATATCAGGATTTGTTCGAATGTTAAGTATCGGTCTGTCGTGAGATTTCGTAAAATCTTTGTATTTTGAGTCCGTTTAGTGACATTTTCTTCATACGCAGTGTTGCATGTTTTGGCCACACCAGAACCCATGACGGAAAGAATATCTCGATAAAGACAAAAATGGGTTATAAAGAGGAGAGTAAGGAGGTAGAATCACATTTCGATTTTCTTAAAAAGAGAAAGGTTTGAATTTTATATAACTGTTTATGCCGATTGCTAAATAAAGATTGAATTGAATTTGTTGCAATTGACCTAATTTTACTGTCACATTTGGTGTTATGCTTCACATCTGGAGCAGCGGAAATCCACATATACTTTTAACCGATGCTCAATTTTGAGATCCATATGGGGTTCCACTCCCCGTGGAATAATTATTCTGGAAAAACGGAGTGAGCAAAAGATATGAAATTTTGCACTCAAGTTTTTGGTTTAGATCTACGTCAAATGGAACATTAATCTCGTCCCCCCGTATTCAAAAAGCTCAGTGAAGTCCCTTTAAGAAATATCGACAAATACCAACAACTACATTATTTTCTCGCTATCACTAACCCTAGGGGTTAGGCCCGGGATTACAATAATGGTTTTGTGCGCTAGTACATCGAATACATGCTAACTACTGTTATTATCAACAAATATATATATTTGTATATACATATACCTTAGTGCAATAACTGATTAACTCTTATCAAACCAAGAAGGAATTATTTCGTTACTGCACAAAGGTGACGATATGCCTTTTAACCTGTAAAACGAAATGTTGCCTTTGAACGAAATATAATTATATACATTACATGGCGTTATGTACATACGAAAATTATGTAACAATTATAAAATACATTTCAGACGGTGTACGATCAAAAGATATGGACACCTTACTAGTATGTTTCATTCTTAATAAAAATATAGATATAGGTAAAACATGTACATGTATTAACTCATTACTTCACTTGGTTCCTCGAGGATAACACGGTTTCTCGTTAGTTAGGAGTTAATTTATTACCAACAAAGATTATTTTCTAGTCAAATATAATGTTTTTACCAGACCTTGTGACGTTTTTTGTTCTTAATCATAACGGGAGAACAGGGGTTTTATATTGTGTTTACAAAACAATCATTTTGCATAACATTTCAGTTCATGATAAAGATACTATTTGTCCAACAACATTGACCTGGCACTGTTGCATTTGACCCCATAGTCGGTAAATTCCGTAAACGTTACTATCTATTTGTAAATAGAAAATTAATGTATACAACCAGTTGTTAAATGACTTCTAAATTACAAACCCCTCTTAGCACAGTCGTTCAGGGCTTTCACTTCAAGATTATAAACGTACACTCGTAGGTTCGAATCCTGGTTCAGCCACTTTTATATTTTTTTCTTTTCTTAATTTAAAATTGCCATTTCTCTCTTAACTTGTGCAAAAAACGTTTTGATTTTTGGTTGTGTATTCTATCTGTGTAGTATTTTAATTTGTATTATGAACGTGCTGTCTTTTTTATTAATTAAAGATAATGTAATGAAATAAAAAATAAAAATGTATAAAAAAAACACTACTTAAAAGGTATCCTAAAAACCAGATGTAGTAAAACGATTTCAAATTAATTCTTGCAAGTAAATTTCAAAATGAAAAAAATGCATGTCCTCATAACGTGGTGTTGGTAAGGTATCGAACTTCATATCAGTAGTCAGGCATCTACACCGATACACCACAACTCACAGACGTGTGAAGTTTACAAAAATATCTATATATTCGTTAGATACCACTGTTTATCATCTGACCTTTACGGAAATTAATGAAGTGCCTGGTCAATATTGTTGGACAATTTTTTGACCTGTTGATGATCACTACAAATTGGAACTTTGTTGAGGTTTTCCGAATGTTTATCGTTTGCATATATCTATAAGGATTCGTATTTTAGAAAAAATTGTGCGGAAAAGACTCTTGATTTCAAACGTCATGCAATGAAGAGACGTCATTATTGACGTCAAGATATTCGATTACCATTGGTTATTAATTATTTTTTAATAAATCCCGTAAAATTACGTGCGTTTTTATGTTTTAACAGCGTATAACGTACTGTTTCGTGAAGACCAATATTGGTTCCTAATATGCTTATACATCTAATAGTTCTTTTTTTATTATTTTTTTTATTTATATACTATTACGTTCAGTTAGTCATCGCTTTGCAAGCAGGTAAAGCGATGTGAAACAATGAGATGCCTTAGAACATATAAATACTCTATAATGAAAGTAATAATGATCTTACTGGATAACTTATTACAACAACATAGGTGTAGAGATATATGAGTGCGAAACTATATCATGCAAATAACCCTGTGAGATATGTTATTGTTGATTAATATACCCCCTGTTCACTTTCTACCGTGTGTTTAATTGCCATGTTTTGAAGTTCTTTTACATCGCCTTGGAACATATTTCTACTGGCATTTTTTTGTGTGTTATGATAATATTCTGTCGCAAAATTTCGCTAATGTCTAATATTGTAATTAAAATATTTCAAGATTAAAACTGTGACTAAAATGAACGGTTTTCACGGTGATTAAGTGACGTGTAATTTTCGAACCCAAGTCAGGCTGGTTCCTTGTGTCGTGCACTATATCAAAAACTTGGCTCGTAAAGTTTCTTATTTTGGAAATTTTAATACAGCTTTGTGAAGTTTACAAAGTAAGTCATTTATTTTTTGTCTTAGCTGTTAAAAATTCGCCATCCGTTGCCCATTTGAGTATTGATTAGTTATTACCACAAGGGAGAAATAAATTTCTTATCCGTAACCCATTCCTCGTGAAAAACCAAAATTAAGAATTAAAATTTAACTTTCAATGGAAGGGGGGGGGGGGGGCTTTTTATGGCGGTTGGGGATGGGGTATTTTCAATCAGTGACTTTTGAAAAAGGGCTTAGGGCCTAATATTTGTTTTGGGGCTCTTGGACATAAATTGTTTTTGGTTTTTTTTTTCAAAGTGATTGGATGCCTAATATATATTTACGATTTGTTCGGCATCTATAAACACTGGGACAGAAAATAGTCTAGATCTAGAATTTAATAAAAAAAATGTCTGATCTTTTTTAAGCTCTATGCTATTGTTATAGACAATCACATATTACAAAGATTCGCATTTTTTAAATATCATTATTTTGATATTGGTAATCATTTTATAGTGCATGAAGAACAAGATATAACATATTTTAAGTAAAATCAATGCAAATAATCACGGATTTATATTACATAATAATATATATAAATAATATAAATCCGTGAAATAATGTAGCACCTTTGAGTAGATGTATGTCATATTTTTCATGATACCCTAGCTGGATCAAAATTAAATAGGCTAAATATTTTGCATATTCTACATTTTTTTCGCCATTTTGACGAACCCTTTTTTTATTTTGCGGTCAAACTACAAAATTAGACCAGATAAAAAAAATATTTTGCTGAATTTTGTTTTATATTAATCCTTTAAAATTTCCCAAATCCCTAAATAATTTAAATAAAAGTTTAAATTTTAAATTATTTTGCTGCCGACCTTTATTTTCCCTTGGCAATTTCACCAATTTCCCAACATTTTTAAAAAACCCGGTTTTGGCGGAAAGTTTTTTTTTTCCCTTCCCTGAGAAAAAACGTAAAAAGGCCCCTTTACGGGAAAAATTCTAGTGTTTAAATTATCTGGCCTTTACCCACATACGTAATTAAAAAAAATTTATATATTTTTCATCATTGGGTTTTATATTAAAAAATTTAAAAAAGCGTCAAAAAGGGCCCCCATTTTTAAATAAGGCCTCCAATCCCTTATAAGACCTAAAATGATTCTAAATTTTAAATTTTTTCCCCAATTTTAAAATCAGCCTTTTGTATGGATTCCCTTTGGATAAAATTTCACTTTTAAAAAGAAGAAATTTCACTGACAACCCCAAAAAAGGTATCTTAGGTTTTTCTTTATTTTGCACTTGCCTTATAGCCATTTCCCAAAAAGGAAATTGCATGTGCCAAATTTCCCAAAAAAATTAGAATCAGATGGGGAAAAAAAAATGCACAGCCACTTGGAAGAGCCTTTGCCCA